TCATGATAAATGTTTATTATTCATGTTGGAATTGTATTAACCGGAAACTTAGTACATGTGTGAATACATAGACAAAACTTATAGTCCCTAGTATGCCTCTACTTGACTAGCTCGTTAATCAAAGATGGTTATGTTTCCTAACCATAGACATGTGTTGTCATTTTATGAACAGGGTCACATCATTAGGAGAACGATGTGATGGACATGACCCATCCGTTAGCTTAGCGTTATGATCGTGTCATTTTCATTGCTACTACTTTCTTCATGACTTATACAAGTTCCTCATATTATGAGATTATGCAACTCCCGAATACCAGAGGAACACTTTATGTGCTACCAAACATCATAGAGTAAAAGGGTGATTATAAAGGTGCTCTATAGGTGTCTCTGAAGGTCTTTGTTGGGTTGGCATAGATCGAGATTAGGATTTGTCACTCCGTGTTTCGGAGAGGTATCTCTGGGCCCTCTCGGTAATACTCATCACTATAAGTCTTGCAAGCATTGTGACTAATGAGTTAGTTGCGGTATGAAGTATTACGGAACGAGTAAAGAGACTTGCCGGTAACGAGATTGAACTAGGTATTGAGATACTGACGATCGAATCTCGGGCAAGTAACATACCGATGACAAAGGGAACAACGTATGTTGTTATGCGGTTTCACCGGCAAAGATCTTCATAGAATATGTAGGAACCAATATGAGCATTCAGGTTCCGCTATTGGTTATTGACCGGAGATGTGTCTCAGTCATGTCTACATAGTTCTCGAACCCATAGGGTCCGCATGCTTAATGTTCGATGACGATTTGTATTATGAGTTTATGTGATTTGATTACCGAAGGTTGTTCGGAGTGCCGGATGAGATCACAGACATGACGAGGAGTCTCGAAATGGTAGAGACATAAAGATTGATATATTGGAAGGTTATATTCGAACACCGGAAGGGTTCCGAAGTGTATCAGATATTTTGGAGTGCCGGAACCCCCTGGGGAGTCAATGGGCCTTAATGGGCCCTAGTGGAGATAGGAGGTAGCGGACAAGTGGTGGGGCGTGCCCCCCTAGGCCCAAACCGAATTGGTTTAGGGTTTGGGGGCCCGGCCCCCCTTTCCTTCTTCTCTCCTCCTCCTTCCTCCTCCTAATAGGAATAGGAAAGGGGGGGGGGCAAACCTACTTGGAGTAGGACTCCCCCCTTGGACGTGCCTCCTCTTGGTCGGCCTCCTCCTCCCTCCCTCCTTTATATACGTGGGGAGGGGTACCCAAAGGCACAACAGACAACACAAGTTGATCTTTTAGCCGTGTGCGGTGCCCTCCTCCACAGTTACACACCTCGATCATACCATTGCGGAGCTTAGGCGAAGCCCTGCGCAGGTAGCATCATCATCACCGTCGCCATGCCATCGTGCTGACGGAACTCACCCTCGGCCTCAACTGTATCAAGAGTACGAGGGACGTCATCGAGCTGAACGTGTGCCGAACGCAGAGGTGCCGTACGTTCGGTACTTGGATCGGTCGGATCGTGAAGACGTACGACTACATCAACCGCGTTGTCATAACGCTCCGCTTTCGGACTACGAGGGTACGTGGGCACACTCTCCCCTCTCATTGTTATGCATCACATAGATAGATCTTGCGTGATCGTAGGATTTTTTTTGAAATTACCACGTTCCCCAACATATTTGCTATTGTATATCTTAATATTTTTGTTTATAAACTTGGTCAAAGTTTGTAAAGCTTGACTTTGACCAAAGCTAATATGCAAACTAAATAAAAATGGAGGGAGTACAATGTTTGCTTTATAATATGTCACCTATGTATTCATTATGCGTTGCTTTTTGAACATATGTATACATATGTGTTTTGCATTATATGTTCATGCGTTGCAAAACAAATTTGAGCAAAATATGTGAAAATATTATATACTTTTTTAGCATAAACAATTTTTTAAGGAGTAACAAAATAGGTTGAAAACCTAGAAATATGCTATTAAAGTTTTAAGGAAAAGAAACTCGAGCAGAAGCACACCTAGCCACTAACTTAGTTTGCTAATACAAGTTTGGATATTCATGTGAAGAACACAAGCATGCATGTTTTGTGGTTGCAAGGTTGTTTGTGTGATATTGCTGAAATACATAGTTTGTGAGCTTCAGCCATGGAAGTAGAAAAACACTCTATTTTCTGACCTGAGATGATTTTTAGTTGGAGGAGCTGCAGATAGAGACATGTTCTGCCACCATGGGCGTTGTAATTTACTTAAGCAAGAAAACAGTTGTTAGTGGTTCTCAAGTAACCTTAGTGAGGATCGCGTCATTGGTAAGCAGCTGATGTTGCTAAGTTATGACACCTCTTTCTGAACCTTAGTGAGGAGCTACACATTTTGGTTGTTCCTGACCATGTGATCTTGATTTAAGTAGCAAAAACTTTCTCCAAAGCTCTTACTGAATCCCCAAACCAATCGCCACAATTATAATTCACATACATTTTTCTTTAGAAAAGGGGGAGATCCCCGACCTGTGCATCAGAGCGATGCATATGGCCACCTTTATTAATAAGCAAATAAGTTCAACAAAGGTCTTGAAGTCTCAAACAAACGAACCAAAAAAGCTCACAAAGAGCAGAAGGGTAAAAGAAAAGAAAGATAGGAAAACTAATTGCCTATCCTATTACAGGACCGCCATCGAAACCGGTTGAAGATAGCCCGAGCTATCATCTCCCATCGGATAGATCCAGTAACCAAACACTCCCTGGCCTCCGTCTGAGTGAGTGGCGACCACATACGGATCAACACAGTGGCTCGGAAGATAACCTGCAAAAAATGAGTATTTGTTGTTCTGTTAAAAACCAAATCATTCCTGCAGTTCCAAACTGCCCATAGTAAAGCACATACTCCTACACGAATGTGTCTCGCTGTTTCGAAATCTATCCTATCAAGCCACGTCCAAAATAACATGTTGATATTATTCAAAGGAGTGATATTAAAAGCTATATGAACAGTCCGCCATAAAATTTTCGCCATCGGACAATCAAGAAAGAGGTGTTTGATGGTCTCATCCCGGTCACAAAAACTACATCTTGTAGAACCAATCCAGTTGCATTTTGTCAAGTTGTCCTTAGTTAAAATGACTTGTTTGTGTACAAATCACATAAACACTTTAACTCTCAAAGGTACTTTGACATTCCAAACATGTTTCGAACTAGGAATAGAGCTAGAGTTGATAACATCCATATACATGGATTTAACCGTAAACTCTCCATTCCTGGTTAGCTTCCAGCACAACTGGTCTGGACGTTGAGAAAGCTGCACATTCATCAGTCGTCTCACCAGATGGAGCCAGGCTTCCCAACGGGCTCCGGCAAGTGTTCTCCTGAAGTGAATATTGAGAGGAGTGGACTGAATCACGGTTGCAACGAAAGCATCTCTTCGTTGAACAATGCTATAAAGGGAAGGATGTTGAAGCGCGAGGGGTGTTTCCCCTAGCCATGTATCCTCCCAAAATCTCGTAGAGGTACCGTGTCCGACTATAAACTTTGTCCTGTTGAAAAAGACTGATTTAACTCTCATCAGCCCTTTCCAAACAGACGAGTCTGTCGGCCTAACGGTCACCTGGGACAAAGTTTTGGAATGAAGGTACTTATTACGCAGAATCTGCACCCACATGGCCTCCGTCTCTACAGATAGCTTATACAACCACTTGCTGAGAAGACATCTGTTCTTAACCTCAAGATTTTCGATACCTAGACCCCCTTGGTCTTTCGGTCGACAAATAATATCCCATTTAGCAAGTCTGTAGTTTATTTTCAGGTCATCACTCTACCAGAAGAAGCGGGATCGATAGAAATCTAGTCTTTTCCGATCTCCAATTGGTACCTCGAAAAGACAAGAGAAACATAGGCATGCTCGTGAGTATCAAATTAATGAGAATTAATCGGCCCCCATATGACATCAGCTTGCCCTTCCAGCAACTCAGTTTCTTTTCAAATCGATCCTCGATACACTTCCATTCTCTATTTGTTAGCTTATGATGGTGAATTAGTATACCCAAATACGTGAAAGGTAAAGCCCCCAGTTCACACCCGAACAATTGTTCGTACGCCTCTTGTTCCTCATTGACTCTTCTGAAGCAGAACAATTCGCTTTTGTGGAAGTTAATCTTTAACCCGGTCAATTGTTCGAATAATCATAACACCAGCTTCATGTTTTTCTCTTTTTCCAAGTCATGCTCCATGAAGATGATAGTATCATCGGCGTACTGTAGGATAGATACCCCTCCATCAACTAGATGAGGTACCAGGCCACCTACTTGACCAACATCCTTTGCCCTTCATATTAGAATTGTCAACATGTCGACTACTATGTTGAACAGAATAGGTGACATTGGATCTTCTTGTCTCAGACCCTTATGTGTTTGGAAATAGTGACTTATGTCATCATTCACTTTGATTCCAACACTTCCTTTTTGCGTGAAAAATTCTACCTGGTGTCTTCAGGCCTGATCAAAACCTTTCATGCGCAAGGCCTGTTGCAAAAATGACCATTTGACTTTATCGTACGCTTTTCCGAAATCCACTTCGAAAACAACCCCGTCTATTATTTTCGTATGGATTTCAGGTACATATGCAGTTTGATTCCATGTGAAGTCAACGACCGACTATTTACGGAATTCTTCAGGTTTGCTTGATGAAGTTGCATTCAACAAAAAAAAAGGGTTTAATTATGGGGAATTTTTGCAGGTAATATCCATCTAGGTTGGTTTTGCTTGCTGTCGCAGCAATTGTTATTCCAGGTTGGTTTACTTGCTGTTGTCCTCAAATGATTCAACTTCTTTTCTCATCAGCAACCGTTGTCCCGTGACACAGTTTGTTCACAGTACTACATATGGCAAACAGTAACAGGAACAATCTTTGTCTCTAAATCATACTGTGTATATATATAGTATATGAAAAACACTATTTTTGGTCATGGAGTACGATTCAATCTGTGCTGGCATCAGGTGCGGTTTGGTCATCATTTTTTACAGGCCGGGTTGGATGCGAGACTGGTGATCCAAGCCTGGTCAGCCACCACGGGCTCGTCGTCCTCGTTCCGGTGCCACGTCCACAGGGCGTGCGTCACGTTCACCACCTGCAGCCTGCCATGCCCGAAGCTGGCCTCCCGGAACACGGACGTCTTGGGCTGCGGGTCGATGTACTTCTCCGCCAGCCCTTCCCGGTTGCCGCCGTCTCCGATGGTCACGTACACCGGCCCGCACTCGTCCTCCTTGTCGCCGTACACGCGCGCGAACCTCTCGTACGCGTGCACGTGCCCGGCGAACACCGCGTCCACGCGGGTGCCGAAGAGCAGCGCCTCCATGGCGTCGCGCATGCCGTCGCCCTCCCCCTGGTGCGCCTTGTTGCTGTTGTACCACGGCGCGTGGACCAGCGCCACCACGAACGACGTCTTGCCGCGGTCGACCCCGGCGAGGTCGCCCTGCAGCCACCTGTGCTGCGCCGTGCCGGCCTCGTAGTCGGTGTACGAGCCCAGCATGACGACGTGCACGGCGCCGCCGGCCACGTCGAAGGAGTAGTAGAGGTTGGACCCCGAGGGCGAGGCGCCGGCGTCGTACGGCATGCGCCACCGCGCGTTGTAGGCCTTGAAGGGGTGGCGCTCGACGAGGGGGATCTTCTCCACCTCGTGGTTGCCCTCGGTCACCATCCAGGGCCGCGCGCTCGCCAGGGGCTCCACGAGGCGGCCGTACGAGTCCCAGCGCGGCTGGTCCAGGTCGGCGTACGACAGGTCGCCGGGGAGGAGCAGCATGTCGTAGTCGGCGGCGGCGATGTGCTGCAGCGTCGAGTTGGTCCACTCCGTCTGGCCCAGGTCGCCTGGATGCGCGTCCCCGTTCCATTGTGGCATTATGCATGAGACTTTGAAAACTTGAAACGAAAAAACTGAGACTCTGAGAGCAAGATGCATGCATGCATTACCAGCGATGACGAAGGTGAAGGGTAGGCCTGACGGGGGCGTTCGGAAGGAGAACTCCCGCGACGGGTCGGAGCTGCAGCGGTAGTAGTACGTGGTGCTGGGTTTGAGTGGGCCGACGACCGCGTCGTGGATGTTCCCCGAGTGGTACAAGAGGTAGGAGTAATCGGTGGTGGTTCCGGTGGCGGAGAAGGGGTACTGGCCTGAAGCCGTGCCATAGTCCACCGTCGCCGGTGCGTCGTCGTCGGTGATCCATGTCACCCTCATCTTGTCAGGGCCCACAGCCGACACATGCACCTGAAAGTTGTACCACATAATGATTTAAACCCACTACTAACTTTTGGGGTATTTAACGGTGAATATTGGCTTAGCGCCAAGCAAAACATTTTGCAAGAGCTTTCAACCACATCAAGTGTGATGTTAAGCGAGTCTTAATACACACTCTCTATCGTTCATGGGATGAAGCTTGATGTCAAATTTTGTCAGCCTTCTAATCCACATTAGGAAACTTTCCAACTGTTAGGAGAGAGAAGACGGACAAAATTAGTGTACCCCTGGCTGAAAAGCATCCTAATTTGCATAAACGGATACACTGAATGCAAGTGTGAACATTCAAATGCGGTGGTTTATGGTTTCTAGCGTGAGCTGTCCATGCCAACAATTTGGCACTCCGATGCAGTATAGTTTCACACAGGCCGGACAAAGTTTGGCAGATAATGAAACACTCGTATCCAGTTTTGGTTTGGTTGTTTTCCTGAAGGAAAAGGCAATGTATGGGCGGTGGCTCAAGATTGCCATCATTAATTGCAGCACTATACTAGTAGTCTCTACTCCTAAGGGAGCAGTTGGTAGTCTCGCTTCCAGGTTTTTTGTAGTCCCACCTCCCACGGTTTATTTTGGTACCTCCTCTTACCTCTAACTAAGCCACCACAAACCGAAAAAACCTGCTCCTGAGTCCCGAACCCGCACCATTACACGTGCGAACCTCAATAGACGTTCGAAGGAAAACCTGCGACAAAAAAACCTACGACGGTTAACCAGCGATAGGAAAACCGTGCAGCCGCACGTAGGAGCGACAAGTCATGTTATCGAGCTAGGTCTCCCTTCGTGGCCGCCCAACATCCCTGTGCCGCCTCGCTTCAGTCGCCGCCCTACATCCTCGCCGCCCTACATCCTCGTCGCCCTCCATCCTGGTCGACGTCCCCCGCCCCGCATCACTCGCCTTCCTCCATCCGCGTCGATCCTGGACAAGGTCGCCGCTGCCCTCCATCAATTCGCCGCCGAGTTGAACACCTCGACGATCCGGCGCTGATCCGGCGCTGGTCCTGGATTAGGTCGCCGATGCCATCCATCACTTCGCCGCCGCGCTGAACTCCTCACCCTTGATACATGATTCGGCGCCTTGATACAGGATTCGGCACTGATCCTGGACGCGGATACGCGGACACGTCCAGGACCCGGCCAAAACACGTCCTAGATCCGAAAAATAGGTATACAAACCATCTCAAACCGGGAGAGAGGGAGGAAGGGAGGAGGAGGGGGAGGCTGCAGCTGCGAGGCTACGATGGGAGACGTTGGGGATGCCCACTGGACGTTGGTGTCCTTCTCAACACAAACCCATGGAGTGCCCAACCCGGATTGATGCAGATTTCTTGGGTGCTGATTTTGAGTTGGTAAGAACCCTTGATTGATGCAGATCTTAATTTTGATTTATGTGGCTGCAGGTTTATAATCTGGGTGTAGAGCAAATTGTTTTTGGTTGGCGATGACTGCACTCAGATGGACATCCCTATGCTCCTTATATCTTGCTGGTTACCATTATTGTTGATTATTTCTCTTTTTGTTCTTTTCTGTTATCTAATAGGGAGTAATAGATATTCTCTTACTACATGTACATCTAAAGGACAAAGGAGCATGCCATCCCTGATTAAACATGGGTTTTGTTTGAGATATAACATTTCTAGCTGAATGTTGTTTCATACAATTAATCATTATTTCAGTTTGAGAGATTAAACCCAAATTAGTTTATGCATTGAATTGGAAATATCACAACTGCATCTTAATTGTCTGCTTAAATTCCACAGTAAAGACTTTGCCACCGATGACACGCTATATGCGGACGCCACATCCTTTCTTCTGCACGCAGCGCACGACATTCCGGTAAGCCTTGTACCGTTGAGATGCTTGACGAGGTGTGCAGCTGTAGTTTAGTAACTTTGGGTGTTTGATTTGAGCGTTGCAGGTTCGTTTATGTGTGCTTTTCAGTATTGTACATGAGGTACCATGAGGGGTGGTGACCCAGAACTTGCTGGCGTGGCGAAAGAGCCGGTTCCTGTGATCAGGATGATGGAGGCTCTTGGGTCACAGCCCACATGTCTGCTGGAGGTAAGTTTTATACCCTCATTCTGTTAGTAGATGCTCTTGGTGTACAGATACCATTCAGACGGTGTCTTTGGTGAAACTTGTAGCTATGCTACTTGGCCCTACTATAGTACTACTCCTGTATCATTCATGCATTAGGTTTTGTGAAGTTTCAGCTCAACCCTATGCCATGTTCTTTGTTAGTATTTCCTTACATATTATCTGCATCATTCCCTAAGAAAAACATATTATGTGTGGGCTCCCCTGATTCATGCTCGTTTTCTTCATTTTGGTTGTTGATCCGGATATTGGATACCCTCAGACGAAGTACATTGTCAGTGTTAATAGATGATTTTTTTTTTCAGCAGATGGAGTCTCCATCGTCATATGGCTGCTGAGATGAGCTGCTCAAATGATTAAAATTATGTTTGCGCTCCAGGTCTAGATGAGGTAGAGGAGCTCAGTTTGATCCTAAGGATGGTATTTGCTTTTTGTAAAATTAAATTACTTATTCGTATCGTAATTTCAGACTGAGATTTTTTCTTTTCTCAACTATTCGCTATCTGTTGTACCTTCGATGTTTTAAGTGGCCAATTTGAGCTTGTCTGATCACAGTTTCCACAAGCATTGCATGGCCTTGCTGGAAATCAGATGTCTTTAACCTTTTAAAAGTTCTTATAGAAAAATTCTTACATTCTTTGTCTTACAACCAAAAGGACATTCTACTTCAGGTTTTGTCTTACAACCATAGGAGATTCTACTTCGTGTTTTATTTTACAAGCAAATATAATTCTGAATGTCATTTATGTTGATGGACAGCAAGTTATAATCATATGGTAGTCTCAAGAAAGTTCAGGACAAGAAGCATGTTCCACTGATGTAACGAGGTATGCTCGTGATCTACAGTACTAATGCGCCTGACCCAGCAGCTTCTTGTCAATAGTTACAGTGCTTGGTTAAAATAATTATTATGCTCATTGTTAATTATAGACTGGCTGTCTTGCACACACAAGTGAAGGTTTTGGAACTCCATTCGCCAATAGTATCAGTGAATCAAACACTCCAATCTCTCTGAATTCTAACCCAGTAAGTTGTGATTGCATATGACACCTTATTTTTAGTGATCATTCTCTATGGTTTATTATTAGTTCTGGATCAGTTTATAGTATAAGTCGTTTATTACTCAGTTTTTTTGTTTCTCTTCAGACTTTAGATTCTTCAGTTATCTGATTCTTACTCCCTTTCGTTCATTAGTGTTCATTTTTGATTCAGTCCTTAGATTCATTATCCTAGATCAGTTTGTTGGTGCAGCGCTTGCAGTATTGAGAGGCTTTCTTCTGACATCTCCTCTTGCAAGTACGAGCTACGTGTGCAGACTGCGTAAGCATCGAGCGGCGGGCCATGGACGTGGACATGGATTCTGTTTTTTGGTGGCTGTAGCTGAAAGTTGTGTGGTTGTTGCTCCACCGATATTATAATGGAGCTCCTAATTGTGATACATTAATTTGCATTCAATCACATATAATATGTCCAAGATTTTAGCTCCATGATCACTCATCTAACTGTGGTTGTCTGCTTTTTAGCCAATATCAAAATGTTCACTCTCAAGTCAGTTTTTCTGGTAGATGTGCTAGGATCAAATGGGTTGTCATTTCTAAGCTGCATGGTTTTTAGGCTTTATAGCTCATGGAGGTGAATCTGGAAATGATCATAGTGTCAATTTATATTTTCCTCCTGGAAATGGGATTATCCCCACAACAGTACTTCATGAACTTTACACTCTTCATGGTTGCCAGGTGCCAGCAATAATTAGGAAATTAGTAGACCAATCCTTTTTTATGGAACTCTAATCTAGAATAGGTACTCTTCAAATTGTGATGTTACTTGAGTGTTGCGGATACACATACATTTGGGTTATTTTAAAAAAATGAGCATATGTTTGTCTTAATGTTAAATGCAGCTTCCAAAATAGCTCATGGTGATTTCTTATGTTCTTTACTGAATTAGCGCTGTATTTGGACAGTCAATCTTTCCTGGTCGCTGCTACTTTTAGTGTGGATAAAGATATATCAAGTTGCCACCTGGCAACGATGCTTTTTGTCCATGCTAGCAGTATGAATGATGAAGGAGAAGAGCAGCGAACACAAATCTTTCTCGCGGCTATTGATTTTATACACATCGGCTGCATCATGTGATATGGTAAACCAACAGAGGTATGTGGATAATCCAAGCTGCTTATTTTCCGTCCGACACTTTAACTCCTTCGGTGACCTGATTGCTAACAAAATGTCACAATAGGTTTTGTTCGAAGTGTCAGTTCAAAATATGGTGATTGAATTTTTTTATCTCACGGATCGTACTTTAAAGTTCATAATTTTTATAATGCTCTGTAATGGAGTCCTGTTGGTTGTGTTAAGCTTGAGAGAGTTACATGTTCTCTCCATTAACCCCTTTATTTTTTGCAAATCAATTACCTTCTTCATGTGTTTCAGCTGCTAGGGCTGAAGGCCGAAGTAATATATGGTAATCAAGCTGTTAAATAGAGAATTTGGGATTTACACAAGCTGTTATATTGTTCAATGCTCCAGCATGAAGTTGCTCCGCATGACTCCCTCATCTTCCCCGAGGCTCTCCTCCTGAAACCCCGCCTTGCCTGAGCCGCTGAGCGATGTCACTGGGACAGAACTGATGAGTACGGCTATTTTGTGACGGGTGACGAGGAGGAATATCGTAATGACTTCAAGATTCATGTATCCAAGATCAGGAAGCGGAAGCGCCGCCTCATGCGTGAGCAGGCGTGCGTCCACTCGAGGCCATTAGGGCCACGCTCACTGGCGACCTAGCTGATTTCATCCACGCTCACTCATGCATGTAGGGATTACTTAGTTGCATGGAGTTATTTGGTTAGTGGGCTGAGCCGTGCATTTTTGGTTGAG